TTTCAAATAAGCATATTTTGAAAATTGTTTATCTAATAAGTATTACTTATCAAATAAGCATATTTTGAAAATTACTTATCTAATAAGTATTACTTATCAAATAAGCATATTTTAAAAATTGCTTATCTAATAAGTATTACCTATCAAATAAACATATTTTGAAAATTGCTTATCTAATAAGTATTACTTATCAAATAAGCATATTTGGCATGAAAATAATAGAAATGATAAAAAACTTTGAAATTTTTTTTTTTTTGCATGCGAAACATATTGAAATTAAAATTTGAAAATCAAAAAAAAAAAATTGACATATTGGGAAAAAAAATAAAGAAATATATTGAAATTAAAAAGATTGGCTAAAAAGTTGGACATTTTTTTTTTTTTTTGCTTCATCAAAAAATGTTGGAAATGACAAAAATTTGAACATGTATATCAAAATATTTTTTTTAAGTGAAATAGCTTAAAACGATTTTAATATAATGCGAATCATTTTTTTTTAAAACTAAAATGTAAATTACTTTTTTAATGAAATAATTTTTTTTAAAAAAAACGAAACATAAGATAAAGTGATATGTACTAATTATTTATTAAAATAACGATTTTAATTGCCTACCTGGAAAAGGTATTTCTCTTATTTGATATAGGAATTTAAATTTCTTCATATTATTTACCCTTTGTTTTTTTTTGTTTTGTTATTTTATTGAATATTGTTTTTTTTTTTTTTTTGTTTACCTTCTACTATGAATAATGAAAAAAGTATTAACAAAATTATTTTAGCAAAATGATTGAATTAACAACAAAATCAGACAAACCATTGAAAATGGCAATAAAAAATATGGAAATTAATGAATCAACCGATGAATATGGTCGAAATATAGCACGCATACAAATACCTCGAAGTATACTTTATGAAAATGCTATTGAAATTAAAAAATTTAATGAGAAGGATGATAATAATAATAATAATAATGACAATGATGATGACGATGACGATGAAGATGAAGCACACGATAAATGTATTACTATCAAATGAATGATAAATTTAATTAAAAAGGAAAAAAGAAAAGAGTAAATATTCTTTGTAATATTAGTAAATATTATTTGTAAAATATGCAATATTATTTGTAATATAATTCAAATTTTATTACTATTATCGTTTATTTTTCTTTTTTTTTTTTTTTTTTACGGACATTTGTTATTTAACAAATTTTGGTCAATAAATTATTTTATTCTAATATTTTATACTTTGTAAATAATGCTTTAAAATATCCATTTCTTTCACATTTTTTTAAAATTAACAATTATAAATTTTAAAAAAAAAGAACGCGAAAATTTGATTTATTTTATGTTTTACATCATTGAAATTTTGCATTTTGTTAATTTGAAATTGAAACTTCGCCTTTTATCAATTTGAAATTAAAACTTTGCTTCTTATCAATTTGAAATTGAAACTTTGCCTTTTATCAATTTGAAATTGAAACTTTGTCTTTCATCAATTTTTTTTGTTACCTCGTTTTCTACCTTATTCTATGGGAAAAAAAGTTTACTTTTTAAAACTCATCAAGGCTTACTTTTCAAAAACATTTCATTTTGCATCAATTTTGTCACCACAAAAAAAAAAGAAATATGAAAAATTGGAAAATGTCTGATTTAGTAATCAAAGAACTGAAAAAAAACTTTAAAAAAAATGATAAAATAAAATGGTAATTAAAATTTGCTAAAAAAAGTAATTAAAAATTGTCTCACATATCAATCCTTCTTTTCCTTCGTTTATTTCATTTGTAATAATTGAAAGAATTGCGAAATAATTGGAATTTTAAATAACTATAATTATCATTAATGAAATATTACTTCAATGTTATACCCTCTTATCAGCACAATTTCACTAATCATATGATTGTCATAAAAATTATCAGTTTGATTTATTATTTGCTAAATAATAACATTTAAAAGTATTGCATCCTTATATGATATATGTAATGCATAGTTTTAGTATTTGATAAGACATATACTGTAAACAATATCATATGTTTAACATTTACAATGACATTATCATGTAAACATTGTCAAATGCAAAATAATTGTCATAGCTAGGCTTCGCAAAGGAAAAAAAAATGACAGACCTGTATCCAGGTTTATTGTAGGCTTGCTGATGGCTAAAAAGGCTAATGCAGTATAGACAAATTTAGATGCAAAAAGCATAGTGGAAAGTTTGCGCATGTCCTTGAACGAAGCAGCAGCCTTATGAATGATTTGTCTCCATACTTTCCAATTCGAAGCCAGATTGAACCACTGATGGTAGTCTATATGGTCAAAGCTGAGATATTGTTTCAGAAGTCCTTGTGTCTCCTCTTTAGGATTCTTCTTTCTTTTACGGAAGCCGGTGACCAATTCGCCATAATGCATATCCTGGAAAGGTGATGATTCTCCATCCTGGAGACGTATTCAGCCCAGTGTGCAACTGTATCTTCAGTAGTATGGCCTAAATACTGATGAACCCTGCTTGTGTAAGAAAATAACCTGGATAAATAATCGAACTATTGGATGTTTAAGAGTGTACGAAGACAGTGCTGGTGAAAGCGTTCGAGGAGTCGTAGACGGTAACAGTAGGTGGCATGTGATTCAGAGTCATATAACAGAACAGATAGTACGATAGCTTTATTGGTACTAGTCCTGGTACTTCTCTTTAGCTGTTTATTGCATCAGACTCTTTTATAGAGTTTTCCGAAAGCTCTGTATTACCTTTGCTAGTTTTTGTCAATTTCGACATCAGAAGAAATGATGCTACCCAAATAGCTGAACTGTTTGGATTAGCTTTGGTTCTGATTCATCTATGATGATGAGAGGATGTAAGTGATCGTTCTGTGGTGCAGACTTCTTCAAGCTCCGCAACCTCTGCAAAATAATGATGTTAAGTGCTGCAGAATTGCTTCTGTATAAGCGAGGAAGGTGACATCATCGACAAAAATTAGCTCTCAGATGTGATAATTTAGGGGGTTTTAGTGTGGACCTTCAGTTACCATAGCTTTCATCGTACGATATCGGATATAAATGCCATTTCCTTCATCTAGGTTTGTCATTGCTCTTTGGAGCAGCATCATGTTGAAGTAGATCGTGAACAGAGTTGATGCAGGAACGCAACCTTCTTTCATCCCATTGATTATTTTGGAAGGGTTCTGAGAGTGTATCACCATATCTGACTTGATAACGTTGATTCTCATGTAATAACATGATCATTTTTAGAATTCGTTTATCATTTTAAAATTTGCTGTAGGACTTTTCTGCTTACTGTGTCAAAAGCTTTTGTGATGCTTATGAAGATTATATAAAGCTTTGTCCTGTTCCCTGCATTACTGTTGCAGGTGTCAGAAAACAAATACCATGTCTGTAGTATTCCTATTAGTTCCTGAAGTTACATTATATTATATATAAGTCAGGAATTCTACCTGAAAACTTTCAGGTAAAATTTCTGAAATAGCAAAAAGTCTGTCAATATGTTTAGAAATATTCTTGGAAGAAAGTTTTTGCCAGCAATAGAGAGCAGGATAATACCCAGATAATTTGAGCAGCCTAATTTTATTTCTTTCTTCTTGCATAGGATGATAATGAGTGCATCACGAAGATCTATTGGAAATTCGCCTTTTTCCCAGCATTACAGTACAAGCCTATGAAACCTAGCGTGACGTATTTGACCTCCATGTTTTCAGACCAGATTAGATCTCAGGTGGAATAACATTAATCCTATTTGCCTTGCCAGTTTTCTACCTGCTATATGGATGGCCTGAGCATCTCTGTCATAGTCAGGGTTATATCCAATTCGCTTTTCATTGGTTGTTGTGTATATG